AGAAGAAAGAAATATAATCAAGATGATGATGATATTTGCAATTGAATAATTGTAATTGTAGTAAGGTAGTAACAAGTATGAACTATGAAGTATAAATGTATAATAACTAATGAGAGGGTATTGTAAAAATAATTGTAAAAATAATCTCCCCCCTTTTTTTAATTTTTGTTTTATTTTTTTTTTTTTCAAATTTTTTTTACGGGCCGCGGGTTAACCGCGGCCCGTGGGGGTGCAACCCGCGAAGCCCGCGGGTTACACCTCCTTGACCCGTGAACCGCCCGCACGGGTCACGGGTCGGCCCGCGGTCCCGATTTTCACGGGCAGGTTTTTACGGGTCATGGTCGGCCCATCCGTCTTGACACCTCTAAATCAAACACTTTAAAGTAAAAATTTAGATGAAAAACTGACGTTTTTCATAAAAAAAAAAAAATAATAAATGTAATCAAACACACTATAATATTGGAATGTTATCGAATAATATTGTCAATCAACATTGTACATGTAATATGATTTTATTGTTATTATAAGCAATGAGTGATTGAATGACTTAATGCTAATAAATTTGTTAGATTTGGATAAAAATTAATGAAATATATGGTTGAAAATTTGATAAAATTATGAATTTATTTGGTTTAAAATAAATTTAAAGAATAAATAAAGTTTAAGAAATTGAGACCAAAGAGGATCTTAATATTTTATTCATAGAAAACATTCTAACCCTTTTTTTCCATATCAATATAAAAGAGCGAGTTTTCCGTCTTGCACACGTGTCGCAATTACCTATCGTCAACCATTACGGCGTCGTTTTTGCCCGTTTCCATTTCATTCTCAAAATTCGACAATGAAACTGTCAAATTGAAGCAGACTCTGAAATCTTTCAGCTTCCCTTTCGCTTCTCAACCGCTGAGAAATCGCATGAAAAATAGCCTCAAGAAGTAGAAAAACAATAAGGCATCAAAGATCCAGCTACTGGAGATGATATTCGAAATTTACAGATTGAGCTTTTAGTATATTTTTACAGATTTTAATATTTGATTTGTGAATTGCTATGAATGAATAATGAAATAAATGATGAATTTTCGAGAAGTTGTTGGGAATGAATTCTGTGAATTTTGACCCAGGCCGGCACGGAGACACGCATGGTGTCTCTGTGCGCACAAGTTTGTTTTTTATTATTATACATTGAGATACATAATACATATTCTTTTATTAACCTAAAATTTTCCGAAAGTTTGTGGAGAGAAAATAAGATGAATAAATTCGAGAGGGTTTCTCTTTCTTTTTTTAATTAGATTAGGTTATAATTGATAACTATATTATAATAAGATGCATGGGAAATTCTTTTTTTATATTTCATCACTACAATATAAAATAAGTAAAACACTTTGTAACATATGTGGCGCTTTCTGAATTATTAATGAATTATTTCTTAGTAATAATTTTTCCAAATGCCGAATTTCATTTTTTTTTTTTTTTGCCACGAGGGGCGCTGCCCCTCCACCCCGCGACCTCACCGCTTGTGGCGTTGCCCCGAACCCATGAGATGGCTTAAGATGTGCATTGATTGACTTTGAAATTGAGCAAACAATCGAGTTTTATTAGTTTGAAGTTTCATGATCTCCAGATGGGGGTTATGCTACCTACCAAGTTTTATTGGTTTCAACTTTTAGCAATCGAGTTTTATTTTTCATTTTAACTTTCAAGTTTTATTGAATAAGTTTTGCTAAATGAGATTTAATTAGTAATGTCTTCAAAAATAATCAAAAACCAGTCAACAACTATACTACGACATGTGTCTTGCACGTGCGCTCACTAGTACTTCAATAATCTTTAGTAAAATTACATGAGTAGGGTTTAAATATATTTATCGCATAAAAAAATTATTGTTACACCTCAATCATAAATTTAAAAAATCATTTGTGAATGAGTCATTCTTGTAAAAACAACGATTATGCTGAAATTTGCATATTTCTCTTCAAACATCAATAGGTTTTAACGAAATCTGCAACATAGTCTTGGTTTTATATTTGTGATTATCATCAACAAATGAACACAAGTCTGAAAAACCAATCTTGAAATTATCAGAGAATATGAATGGTAGAGGAGGTACAACAATTCGTATATCCTATTCACTAAAAAATAGTATATCAATTTTTGGAGAAAACAGAGGATTCCATTTAATTGTTAGAAAAAATGGAGCCAAAATCAGGTTGTTATAATTCTTCGATTTTGTAGCTACTGGTTCTGTTCTTGAAGAACTGCGCCCGCAACTCAGCGGTGTCAATCTCCTTGGCTTCATTCTCCTGCTCGTAATATCCGATCACCGGACTGGGTACCCACGAAGCCTTTGTTGATTCATCAAATCCCTTATTTAACATCATATTAGGAGCCAACCCTCCCCCTCCCCCTCCCCCTCCTCTCACATTGCGTAGCACCTGTTGTCGGAAATTCGACTACCGCAATAGAAAGAACAAATAAAAGTAATGGAAAATAAAAACAAAAGATGAAGCGATGTATGCCAAAACAAATCTCCTTAAGACAGATTTCGCCCCCCAACAACATGCAAATGAGATTATGGATGTCTGTCCCTCAAGATACAACGCTTCTTCCAAAATCGATATTGCACAATACCAACATTGTCGGTCGAACCAAGAAATGATTGTACTCGAACAGAATAACCACGAATATATTGAAGAAATTTTTGCAGAATATGGAGAGAGAAAGAATTTAGAAATCAAGAGTATATTAATTGATTTGGTGTACAAAAAAGGAATTTGAAGGTCTCTATTTATAGAGATTGAAGTGTCTCCTTGAATGGATGTATGACAATTCATGAACAGGTGCACCACTTGATCTGATTCGTCTTAACCATTGGATTGCACTATTTCATGATCTGACGGTTCAGATTAAATCATGAAATGTAGCGTCCTGTTATCATACTTATTCACCAATTTCTGAATAGTCACCAGCCATGCAGATGCCATGCATACGTCCAACTGAACCAACTGCCACGCAAGACTAAATGACGCAACATGTTATGTGTGTGCCACCTAGGATGCCAATTCATCGTGCCTCCCGTTGCCATGTCATCGAACCTTGAGTCCATTTTCGAAAACTAAAAGGCTTCACAGCTCCTCGCGACGTGCAAAGTGTACCTCTAAAGCGCTCAATGTGAACTTCGCGAAGTGCACGGGCCGGGACCGGGGCGCGGCGCAAGTGGTGCTAGTGGTGGCTTGTTTGCTAGCATTTGGCGAGCCAAAAGTAACCAAGTTGTAGATCACTTATTGAATTATAACTTATACACACATCCCACTATATAAATAAGTCTTTTTTCTTATAAACTTTCGATGTGAGATTCCTTACCATATATAATACACTTAAGATTAGGCTTATTAACTTATGGGCCTATATTGGAGATTTTTTCAAGGGAAAAATTCACTTTCCCTACTTTATCTTTACCCTATTTCAAAAATAACAAAACAACTTTTATATTTCAAAAATCAGATTTTTTGACCTATATATACACATATTTATAAATAATTATTTATTTATTTAAATATATAAAA